GGAGCCGGGAGAGCTCTTCGGGGGGGCGGGGACGGGGGTGGCCTGCCGGGGTCTGGGGGCTTTGAGGTCGCGCCTTGCGGTCGGGGGCGGAGAGGGCGGCGAGCACACGGCCCTGGGAGAGGCGGCGCGTCCTCCCAGGCGCAGCCCCGGCCCGGCCCGAGCGGCGCGTCCGCCGGGCCCTGGCCCGCGCACCTGCCAGGCGGGCGGGGAGGCTTGTGCTGGGACCGCCTAGGGCAGTGCTACCGGGTCCTGCCGGAGGACGAGGAAAAGTTCCCTCCTGCCCCCGCCTCGTCACTGCAAGTACTTGCTTCCTTTAACCTTCTTGGTGACAGGGCTCTATGGCTTAAGATCATAATCCCACCCCGGGTCGGGGCTGTGCATGTCCGCTTTCAGAGGACTTTGTCTGACTTTGGAGCTTCGTAGCAAACCTGTGAGAAAGGCAGGGCCGTTGATCCCAGTATATAGAGGAGGAGGCCGAGATCCAGGCACGGATAATAAGTGCTTTGCTGCAGGTCATACAGGGGCTCAGGACCAGAACCCAGACCCCCTGTCTGATAATTACGCTGCCTTTCTGTTACACCCTCTACACGGTTTCCTGAGCGGATAGGATGATTACTTGCAGAACCTATTCCGTGCATATTCTCAGTGGCGATGTGTCTGTCGATACAAGATGGAACGATACCTTTTACCTCTTCGGTTGCTTTATATTTAACATATGAGTTAATAGCTGAGATAGAAAAGTTTTTGTTTATAGAATTAACTTGGGAAGTCCACACCTTTTTTTCATGTTGTGTCCTCTAAGAGGACACGTTTGTTGTAAGAAACCTTTAAAACTTTTTAAAGTAACCATATGGACAAGCCATGCTAGACGTTTCTGGAAAAAAAATTAAAAGTTAAAAAAAATGACATGCAGTTTTTACAGCTTGCTAGCTATATGTATGTTGTCTCATTTAATCGTCACAACTGTAGGAGGCTGGCATTCTTGTTTTCATTTTACAGTTTAAAAAACCGTAAGACTTAGAGACGATAAGTAACATTGCCCAGGTTATACATTTACTAAATGTGACTGGTGTCTGTTTAAGATTTTGCAGTCTAATAGAGGAGATTAAGAATGAATGTAACTGTAAATAAAAATAGAAGGAAAATGTAACAGGAGAGAAATAAGGGTAAAAAAAAAAAAACCGGGGATTGGGCTTCCCTGGTGGCGCAGTGGTTCAGAGTCCGCCTGCTGATGCAGGGGACACGGATTCGTGCCCCGGTCCGGGAAGATCCCACATGCCGCGGAGCGGCTGGGCCCGTGAGCCATGGCCGCTGAGCCTGCGCGTCCGGAGCCTGTGCTCCGCAACGGGAGAGGCCACAACAGTGAGAGGCCCGCGTACCACACACAAAAAAAAAACAAACCGGGGAGATTACACTGAGGATAGCTTTGGAAAAGGGTTTGAAGAATAGGTAGGCCCTAGATAGGGGAGCAGAAGAGCTCTTTGGATGGAGGGCATAGGACCTGCAGAATGGACTATGGAAAGAGCCATCCTTTCAGTTTTCCTGAGCTTTGAATGGTATGTTAAGGTCAGCCTGTGGAGGGTCTTATACGACAAGCTGAGAAATTTAAAGGTTTCTCTGTTACAGAGTAAAGAGGAGACACTGACGTTCTTTGAGAAGAGGATCCAAATGTGATAGAATAAACTTGGTAGAACATAAGTTGGGCTGCAGGTGGAGAGGTAATATTTGAGTAGGATGGCTGTGGATGGAATGGAAAAGGACATCCATTTGATTTGATTACCGACTAGGTGTGGAGTACAGAATGGAAATAGGGAGCATTTTGATAGGGAGGATAATGGCTTCAATTTTGAACCTTTTAGCTTGTGTTGGCAGGAACTCCTAATAGAGCAGTCAAGCAGATAGTTAAAATGCATTACTCAAGAGGTAAATCTATCAAAACCAGAGTTAATAGCCTCAGGTGTCATTTGTATAGAGGTGACAGTTGAGGCCTCAGGATTGGATGAATTTGTTATTATTCTGACTTAATCATAGCAGGTTTACAAATTAATGTTACAGTGAGGGAAATGTTCTATTCACGTGTTCACCCAGTTTGGAACATGTAATACTTGCTGCTAATACATGGGTGTCAGTACAGTATGGGTAATTTGACACCTTTTTCTCTCGTCTTTTTAAAATTACTGTGGAAGAAGATATGGGAAAGCAGAACCACCAAAAGGAGTGATGACCAGCGATCTCATGAGAAGTCTGGATGTTAGTTCTCATGCCTCAGGACATCCAGTTGGGAACTCCACACCAGCTCCTGGGATCAGACTTTCATCCACTTAATACCCCTGTTTGCCTGAACTACTAGAGCCAGTCCTAGCTAACCACGAATGGCTACCCAGAGGAAACACTTGGTGAAAGATTTCAATCCTTACATCACTTGCTATATCTGTAAAGGGTATCTGATCAAGCCAACTACAGTGACGGAATGCCTCCATACCTGTAAGTATTCTTTATTTTGTCATCTACCTATCAGAAGTTTTGGGTTACACTTCTTCTTTTAAAACTACCACATTTTGGGGGTTTTCCTCTAGATTTTAACTTTTAAAACAATGAGTATTCTAAGAATTAACTTTGAATTTATTTTCAGAATTGAATTTCTCACTGGGATACCAGTGGTATGAATTTTTTCTTGTTTCTTTTTTAAATTGTTATAGTTCACTTTTATCTGATTTTAAAATGTTCTGAAAATCATAAGCAGTTATTGGTTAAACTATAACCGTTTTTTTTTTACGTGAACTATTTCAGGTTTTCGCTTTTTAAAAATTTTACTGAAAGAATTAATATGCTCAGAGATTTTTTTTAGGATATGCATACTTTAATTCATTGTGGGTTTTTTAAAATCACTTTATTGAGGTATGGTTGACATAAAAAAAGCTGTACGTGTTTAATGTGTATAACTTGATGAGTTTAGAGATAGGTATATACACATGAAACCATCACCCACATCAATGCCATAAGCCTTATCCATCACCTCCAAAAGTTTTCTCTCACCCTCGTTTATTATTATTATTATTGTGATAAGAACACAATGTAAAATCTACCCTCCTAGCAAATTAAGTGTACAACACAGTATTGTTAACCGTGGGCACTATGCTGTACAGTAGATCTCTAGGACTTATTCATCTTGTATAACTGAAACTGTACCCTTTGACCAATAACCAACAGCCTCAGCATCCCCTGGGAACTTGTTAGAAATGCAGATTGTTAGGCCTCCCCCCAGAATTACAGAAGTGCTCTGGGAGTAGGCCCAGGCATCTGTGTTTAACAATCCCTCCAGGTGATTCTGAAGCACGCACAAGTTTGAGAATCACTCTTCCAATGAATGATCATATCTGTGGAACTCCTGACAAGTTTCTTTTTCACCTGTCGTATCAGTAGAGAAAGAGACATTTTTATAGCCACTTAGGCCAGTATTTCACCTATTTTTTGTGTTTTTGCCAATATGAATTTATTTTCCTATTTCAGTGAAGGTATTTCCAGTAAGTTCTAGTTTAATGCCTGTTACATGCAACAAAGTAGATACTTTATATATGTGATTTCATTTTAGCTTTACAGTAACCTTGAAGCAGTTTGGAGGGGATGTGGGGAGACAGAGAGAGTATAGAGATTATCTTCACTTGTGGGTGTGGAAGCTTAAGAGCTAAGTCACTTGCCCAGTCCCACAGCTTATGAGTAGTAGACCTGTATTCAGCTCCAAAGCCCATGCTCTTTCTAAGATAACTTGGGACATTTTTTTAATCCCCCCTTCAACTATCCTCCCTCTGCTTAACTTACATACTATTATACCAGTAGTTTTAAACAGGGTTGCAAAAAAAAGAATCACCTGTTAGTTGTTAAAATGGCAGATTTTATAAATATTTTACCACAAAAAAAAAGTCACCTAGGATGCTGTTTAAACAAGCTTTTTCACACCTCCACCTGGAGAGATTGGTGGGTGTTGTGATGAGGTCTGGACATGTGTATTGTGGAAAACCTCTCCAAGTGATGATGATGTATACTTTTTGGAGGTATTACTGGGCCCATGCTGTTCAATTACCAGTTAACTATGAACTGTCTTGAAATGCTCATTGACTGTTGCACTGTATCATTATCTAACTTGAACAGTTATCTGTTAAACATCATCAAACAGATATTTATTGAATATCTACCATGTGCCAGGCACCATTCTAGGCACAGAGGATAGCAGCGGTGAACAAAGTAGTCAAAAATCTCTGCTCTCAAGAAAGGGGAAAACCAATAACAAACATATGCCACGTTAGATTGTGTTAAATGCTATGAAGAACAAAGAAGGATTGTAGATAGGAGAGTTGGGGTCATTTTATATAGTGTGTCAGGGTTGGCCTCTTTGATATAATGACATTTGGCCAGAAACCTGAAGGGATTGAACTCTGGATATATGGGAAGAGCATTCCAGGCAGAGGGAAAAACAAGTACACGGCCTTGAGGTGGGAATGCCCTTGGCAAGTTTAAGGAACAGCTAATCAGTGAGAAGGCTATTGCTGCAGGTCAGCTGAAAGATGTTGGAGCCTTCAGCCAGGATAATGAGGTGTGAGATGGAGGCAGGGAAGAGTGATTGACTGTGGATGTATTTTGGAGGAAGAACCAGTAGGATGTGGCTACTCTAGAGTGGGGACTTTGTCTTATACTTTCCTGTTTCCCACTACACGAAGCATGGCACCTGGACATGGTCCACAGTCTGTTTTGTTTTGCTTCTTCTGACATTAGTGCATTGTTTTTATAATTGGATTTGTCCAGCAAAACCTGCCAGTTCTGTTTGGCAGATGAGAAGAAAGCACAAATTCTCCAGTTTTTATCTATATAATACGGATTTTATATCTGTTCTTCTGAAAGAAAATTTTCTTTGGGACATAATAAAATCCCAGTTTAAATGTTATTTTTTTTAATATAAATTTATTTTATTTATTTACTTATTTTGGCTGCGTTGGGTCTTCGTTGCTGCGCGCGGGCTTTCTCTAGATGCGGCGAGCGGGGGCTACTCTTCATTGCGGTGCACGGGCTTCTCGTTGCAGTGGCTTCTCATGTTGCGGAGCACGGGCTCTAGTTGTGGCACGCAGGCTCGGTAGTTGTGGCTCACATACTCCAGAGTGCAGGCTCAGTAGTTGGTGGTGCACGGACTTAGTTGCTCCATGGCATGTGGGATCTTCCTGGACCCGGGCTTGAACACGTGTACCCTGCATTGGCAGGTGGATTCTCAACCACTGTGCCACCACGGAATTTCCTAAATGTTACTTTTTTGAAGGAAAAACAAAAGATTCTAGAAGTATAAACAATAAGTTTATAAGCAAGGGTTATGTTTGTTTGCAACAGCAGTTTAATTAAGGTCTAAAGGGATAGGTGACCGTTTAACAGCTCTTGTCATTCTGGCCTGAAAAGTCCCTTGGCAGTCAGCAAGCCCCTTTACTGAGAGAGAATGAACATGGCGGAATTGTGATTAAAAGACACAAATATGGCCTCTTTCATCCACGGAGAACACAGAACAGTAGAGTAAATGATGGTGGAGTCAGGTACTCAACCCAGTATCTTAGGAGACCTCAGGATTCTGTAGTGCTAAGCTTTATGCACTTTCTGGTTCTTGGATTTCTATATATTTCTTGGTTCATATTCATACTGGGGCTTATAGGCAAAAACTATCCCACTTGCAAAATATCCCCCATTTGTATGGATAAAATAAACAGTACTGTAAAGCATGTTCCTTAATCATTGGTTGGCTCTTTGATGTTACCTGGTTTTCTTAGGTATACGGTGGGACGGATATATGTGGTACAATGATTTGGGATCAGTATAGATCCCAAATAGAGAATATGGCCCAATAGAGAAGATGGCCAAATGGGACAGGAGGAAAGTGAGAAGTGTTAAGTGACATTGAGGTACCCCCTAATAGTTTCCATCTTGACTTTGGCATATAAAAAATGTCTTATTAAAATAAGTTTGTACATAAACTATAATTTTATGATTAAGTAAAGAATGGGTAAACAATAGTTCTTATTATGGAAACTCATAATAAAAGAGAAAGATTTTGTTCTTACTATTCGAGTTTGAAATGTGTAAATGGAGCTTTATTATTGGTGAGCAAAAGCAGACTTTAGGACCAGTCCCCTCAGAACTCTGGTTCTATTCTGAAGGAATAGTAATCAAGTATAAAATATCAATAAAATATCAATAAATTTGGATGCTGGTAAGTGTGATGAAAATGAGGAAACAGAATTATGTAATAGCAGGTATATGTCAGGATGTTGCAGCAGAATGAATGCCAGAGAAGGAACCAAAAAGAGTGTTTTATGAAATTCCTAAAGCCATGGGCCCAAGGCCTTCTCAAGCAGGGACATACATGCTTGGGCCTGGCTGCAGTGGAGGTGCTTTGGGGTGGGAGGTGTAGGGATCATGAGTGGCTCTCCCTGCTTTGATATGGATAAACGGAGTTAACTTTACTCTTTCAGATTACTCTGCACATGCATCTCAACTCTTCCTCTCTCCTCAAATCAGTTTGTTGATCCCCTGTTCTCCCATTAAGAAATTTGGGAGCTAACACTGCCTGGCTTCCCTGTGGATGTAGAAACAAGGGCCAGAATGACAGCAGACTGTCTGACTGCAGCAGCCCTTGATGTTCTTAGCACTCAGCTCTGTGGAAGACAGAGAAGGAGGCAAGCCAGTCAGAAGGAAGGGGGAGGCAGAGATGGCAGCGCAGAATGTCCCAGGCTTCTGATGAGGAGTCGCAAAAAAAAAAAAAAGGGCTTATAAAAGCCCCATCTTTAAGTAGGCTCGTACCTCAACTACTAATACCAGCTCCCTTCAGCAGACCAAGGACGTTTGATAAAAAGATAATAAAACTTTAAAATGAGGTAAAATTTTAAAATACAGATGAGTTTTCCCTTTAAATGATCACTTAATGCTAGATGAACTAAATCCACATGTCTATGAGGTAATTTTAACAACCTAACAAACGTGTGGTTTGTTAGGTTACATGTGGTTACATGTCTATGAGGTAATTTTTACAACCTAACAAACCTAAGGAAATAAACTTGTTCACACAAATAATTATTAAATTCTCTAAAATAAAGAATTAGATGTCAGGCACTTTGCTAGCCCGTGGAGTAGCGTGGTAAATAAGATAAATTTGGAACTTAAACTCTGCTAAGCAAAACTCATAAGCCAAGAAGAAATTTCTACAGGTGTATTTGGATCTATTTCTTTCTTTTCTGTGTGAACTCACCTCCTCTGAGACTTCAACTGCCTATGCTGATGTCTCCCAAATCTTTATTCTGAGCATCAGAATCCCACTGGATGTCCACTTAGATGTCCTGAAGCCTCCTGGAACTTAACATTACCTAAAAGTGAATGAATGGGATGCCAACATTCAGTTGTCCAAGCAAGAAATATGCTCCATGCTTGACTCTCTTTACCCTCACTAACAAAACAGG